AAAAAAAAATGTTTTTATCCAGATGCAAAACGGAGTCGAATGTAAATAGCGGTTGCGTGTCGGTTTTTTGTTTTAACCTTCAAACGTCATGAACCCGCGAGACGGGCGCCGCAGCGCGCGCTTTGATCAGCCGCGCGCCTTTTATGCCGTTTGACTGGAGAATGCGCGCGGTGCTGTCGGTACAAATCTGCCTCACGCTCCTCACCCCGTCAAACGGAGAGATGGAGGTGAAAGAGAGAGAGAGAGACAGGTGGAGGGAGACACTTTCATCTCGTCTTTCTGCTCGCGCTCGCACCTGCAGAACCTCTCGCGCGCTTGAAAGAGGTGCGCGTGCGGCCCCCGCGCGTCTCCACGAGTTGAACGCGCCCGGTTACCGGCTGCCGCTGCGAGGCCATAACAACAAACACAAGCTGTGAAGAGAATATTATACCGTTTGAAAAGCCTCCTGCTCGGGCTCTTGGGAACCGAAGGCAATTGTTTATATAGGATAAATCTGTATTCTAAACTTCGTTTTGAGGGGATTTTCCGTTAACCTGGCAAAATTGTTGAGCTCGGATGTTGATTTTGTAGTTTCATGACTCACTTTCTCAATATTTTTGCATTCGTTTTGGCAGGGTTTAACAAAAAGTACTACGGTATTCTGTCAAGTAACTTACTTAAAGTCAAGTAGCCTAGCCTATGTACACAAGTGATTTTATAGACCAACATATGTGACCCTGGACCACAACAACAGTCGAAGGGTAAATTTTTTTGTTAATTGAGATTTATACATAATCTGAAAGCTGAATAAATAATGTATGGGTTGTTAGGATTGGACAATATTTGGCTGAGACACAACTTTTGAAAATCTGGAATCTGAGGGTGCAAAAAAATCGAAATATTGAGAAAATCGCCTTTAAAGTTGTCCAAATGAAGTTCTTGGCAATGCCTATTACACATTAAAAAGGGACAAACCCAGCTATTGGGTTGTTTTGACCCAGCGGCTGGATTCAACACAACCCAATAGCTGGGTTTGTCCCTTTGCAGCATTTTTTAGAGCGTACTAATCAAAAATTAAGTTTTGATATATTTATGGTAGGAAATTTACAAAATATCTTCATGGAACATGATCTTTACTTAATATCCTAATGATTTTTGGCATAAAAGAAAAATCGCTAAGTTTGACCCATACAATGTATTTTTGGCTGTTGCTACAGACGTACCCGTGCAACTCACATATATGTCCACAGCCTGGCTACAGTGTGTGAATTATTCAGTGGTCTTTGACCCTTAAAAATCATTTTCAGTGTTTTTCCCTATTCATTGAGGTTTGTCTCACACAACCCAATTAGCCTTTTGGTACAATTATCTCAAGGCATCTACTGTTGTTGTTATAACCTTCTTTTTGCTAACTTCTTTTCGTAAGACTTCTTTTGATTTTAATAGCCTATATTAACCTTTGTGGTTATTGAAACATTTGACAACAGTATTGAAATGTGTATATAGTATATATATATAACTATACTATTTATGTGTATGTTTGCAAAAAGATGCTTAGTTTTAACACCCCAACTTGTTTTGACTTTCTTTGCAGGGATTGGAGTCTTAAACGGATCTGTCTTTCGTTCAACAAGATCGGTTAGTGTGAACTCAGATCAGTTTGTTATCCTAATCAGTTTTTTATTACACTTAAATGAGGATAGGAATATGAGATCAGCGCTTTGACGCTCAACTAGCTCGCTTGGTTCATTTGTATCCTCTCAGACTATTAGAACAAGATCAGCTCCTTCTTGTCAACGTAATTATTTTAATTAGGCTGTATTTTTTTGTTGGCTAATTTGGTTAAAAGCAACGTTTAGATTTTAATTTCTGTCCAAATCAGCACAGAAAATGCAACAAATGTTCAGATTTAACCTATAAGCAACATAGGCTTAACCAAAATGCTGATGAACTTCCTAGTCATTAAAAAAAATCTAGTTTTGCTGTTTCTGACAGCATTTACATGTACTGTTATGAAATAAATTTTGTTTATACCACTTTTCAAAGTCTGTGACATGTACTGCGTCTCATGCACATTTATTTGCAGTCGATTGTGCATTTTATCCAGAAGTAGTCCTGTACGGTTTATATGTTTGACATACCGCCATATTTTGCGCATTGTTTCGTTTTTCACTTACTTTGGAACTTCCTGTCTTTGGCATGTTTTCCTTAAACACCCAAGAGAGGGAATAAACTATTTTTTTTCCCCGACTCTAATTTGTAAATTGCATCGATCGTGGCTGGCAGGAGATATGCCGGTGGATTCATACAGAGCGAAGGATTTATTTCATTTTTAACAGGGCGCTGACACAATTCTCATTACTGGACAAAAATCATTAGCAGCTCCACAGCTACATTCAGACAAATCGAGTAACTGTTAATTTTTCCGCCGAGGAGCCATGGGATCCGTGTGTGTGTATCGAGTATGTGTTAATTTTTCCGCCGAGGGGCGATGGGATCCGTGTGTGTGTGTGTGTGTGTGTGTGTGTGTGTGTGTGAGAGAGAGAGAGAGAGAGAGAGAGAGAGAGAGAGGGAAAGTAAAAAGGAGGGGTTGGATCTGGTGTGAAAAAAATATAATAAATTAAAATGGACGACATGAATTGAGCGCCGAATGTCAAACACTGTCAACAAGATGGCTCTCTGTCACGGGGAGAATTTGAGACATTAACAGCTTCTGTCATTCTGCTGACAAAATGGTAGCAGAGATTTCCCAGGGTGCCGAGATGACTGCTGGCGTTTGTCAACAAGCCGCTGTCAGCGCGGCGAGAGAGAGAGAAGGCATACACAGTGTCACTGACAGCTTCCACACCAACATCCCATGAGTCCTAGCCACCCAGAAAGAGTGTGAGGGGAGAAAGACAAGAACGGATGGAGGAGGAGAAGAGGGAGAGATAGATAGATGGATGGATAGAAGGAGGGGTGCAGGTCTCTGGTGCACCTTTCATATAAAATTGCAGGAGGAAAATGAGCTGTCACTCCAATTCCCAGGATGCTTTGCTGTTTAGCATAAGTGCGCTGTGTGGGCTGCTGTCGGACAGACTGACTCAGAGAGATAATTAACTAAAGCTGCAGTTTTCCTCCTCTCCTCTCCCTCCCTCCGCCAGACGCCTTCTCCAGCGCTCATCTGCATTTTTGCCAGGGGCGAGAGGTTAGCACAGGAGCCGGGTGGAGAGAGGGTAAGAAGCCAATTAGTCAGGTGGATGGATGAATGATTGACAGCAGGCTGCTACCTGAGTCCCACTCTACATTAATGCCACGGTGCTCGGCTCGGCCTCAAACGCGCTCCTGTTCCTGTGCATGCGCGGGCCCGAGATCGTCCTGCACTGCCGCGGCTTTGTGTGCTTCCCGTCCTGTCTGTCTTGCTCTCATCCAAACCTTTTGTGGCGAGTCCGAGTCTTCTTTTGTACCTTCCCCTCTCTCCTCCGCCCTCGACGGAGGCGAGCAAACAGAAGCGTTTCCCCGGATCTGTTTGTAGGCATCGTTTAGGATGCCGAGGGCTGTGTAACAATCATGTGAGTGTGATCTGACAGAGAGTCTTGACCGAATCGACGCAAGCAGACATCTCTCAACAGTTGGAACTGTTAAATGATGATTTGGATTCTTCAATAGGTCAGATGTACTCTGGTCAGAATTCACGTCGAGACCGAATCCTGGTGCGAGCTTAAACTTTCACTGAACTGCAGATGTCCTGCAGAGTTCGGTGTGATACGATAAATCCTAATGTGTCTCTGGCTCTACCGTCCCAGAGATCATTTCAGCCACATACATATTGGACGACTCCAGTCCTAATATAGTTAGAATGAAAATAAATATACATTTTCAGGAAAAAAGGTACACAATTTGTCACTGGGCCGGTACCTTTCCAAAAGGTGGGCCTACTAATAGGCTATGTACCATTTATGTACTAATATGTACACTTTAGGTAATATAATGTACCTTTAAGGTAGCTACTAATATTCACCCTGTAGAGGTAAATATGGTACAAAAGTGTATCTTTTGAAAAAATACCACCACAGTGACAGCTTTAGTACCTTTGTTTCTGGCACAAATGAAAACCTGTGTAATAGGTTGTGCTGTCTTAAAGGGTTAGTTCACCCAAAAATTAAAATTAGCTTGTATTTTACTCACCCTCGAG